ATTCTTTAGGAGTGGAAACAGAAGAGAGATTTGCTTCCAATTGTGAGCTCATTCCTAGGTCACCAGGAAAGCAGAAAGAGAAATAGGCTCCAAAATAAACAACAGTTTGACCTTGAAAGCATTTTTCTCTTAGGGTGCCCAACTTTGCATGAAGGAATTCCTAAATATTCACCTCAACCATTCAAAGGGCTGTTTTACTTTCTTCAGTCATTAGTGGACATTTTCAGTGAGCGCATTGTGACAACATACTGACTCCATGGTACTTTTCATGGAGGAAGGTTCAAGGAATACACATAACCAAAGGGTCAGAGCTTTAGCTACTCTGGAGGGAAAACAACAGTTATAAATGATGAGTAGCAACAAATTTGTTAACTTAGTGGGCCAGACAAACTTGTATTAGTGCCAGAGAGTTTAATTTTGTTGTAACATATGATTTTTCAGCAAATATTAACTAATAGATGAACTATGCATAGATTTCCTTCCTTAGGCTACCTGAATCCTTTCTTTTTTGTTTGTTTGTTTAATTGTCTAAGCTAGGCTGTAAGAAAGTGATTAATAAAGACTCAAAAGCTATTAGTGGGTGGTTTGGTTTCATTCAGTGCTATTAGTTGTACAGTGTGTGTCTTTTCCTCCCCATCTATTTGAACTTACACTGTATTTGTTTTCTGATTTACTGTACACTTCTTTTGTAGAAGTCATAGGCAGAGTGTTTAAAAGGGGGTGGCAGTGGGGGAATGTAGCCAATGCATTATATTGTATCCAACATCTCTCAACATCCTAAGCATACCAATCATTAGCTGCCAAAACTGTTCTTCATGCTTTCATGACTTGGTACTGATGTGACTGCCAGACACTAGAGTGGGTGTAGCTCCTTAGTGGAATCCCTTATCTGTGTTTGTGGCTTGCACCTTATCACGACTGAGACTCGATTAGTGACCCCTGTGGTCCTTATCTGATATATTTTGTTATTTGGACTTTCACAAACTACAGTAAAAGAGCACCCAGCCAATGATCCAGCTTCCCTTGACAGTTTTGAAAATACACTGTTGAATATAGAGATCTTTCAATTTTTTAATCAAATTAGATTAAAAAATCCAGCATCAACATAAATATAGCAAGCCTCCCCACAGAACCCCCACCTGACTCTTATGCCATTGCTACTCGGCCCTACTCAACACCCATGTGCTAATGCACAAGGGAGCAAAAGTGAACTTTGCAGCACTCTCTAAAGGCTAACAAACGCAAGCTATTACAGATCTGGAGAGGAAGCAAGTTCCAAATATCCACAGGCACTAGATCTATTGGGTGAGCCAAAAAGTAGTCTTCCCTGGCCAAAGCCATAGGAGCTAAGCTTCTCTCAGCTGGAAGTTTGCATACCTGGCAGCATTAGGTATTATAATGTAATCAGAGGCATTAAAGAGAGAAGATGTCTGTAAGATCATCCAGTCTGCCTTCCTGAAAATGCAGATTTTTTATATAATTGCTTGGCTCAAGATTTGTCTGTCAGATTGTTCCAAAATTCAAGGTATCCAAAATATGGTGGCTCATCTTTTCATCCATTCACAGGAACTCATCTTGATCCTTGGAATTCTTCACTGGCCTCCTCTCCATTTCTGGAACCAGTTCTATCATTCTTCATCTTTAAAATTCTCCTTGGACTTGCACTCTTCCTGTTTCTGTTACTTTATGTCACCTTGTTCTTCATCCTTTCTTCACATTCCATGAAGATTTCTATCCCATCTTCCTGTCTTTTCTCCATTTGTTCTTCCCTCAACCATGTTGCCATCTTTCTCTCCCATCATCCCATCCTCCTCCTCACCGTCATTATTTGGAACAAATTCACTGTGTCAAATTAATTCCATGACTTCCTTCAAATCCTATGTCAAGACACATTGCTTCTTCTGGCCTATAGCTATTAGCTGGAGTTAATGTTAGATGGCTCCTGAAAGTGGGTGATTAGTAATACTCTGATGCTCTGAGGACATAGAATACAAGTGGCTTCCTGAATGATGGCAGACTGTCTCCATGGTCTTTGTAAAGTTTGGATGCTATTTCTTTCCTCACTTTTCTCTACTTACTGTTGTTCACATCCTTTTTTCATGGCTATAGCAATAACACACTGGACTCCTAACTCTCCTTTTCATAGAACAATAATTCCTGTTGCTTGACTGTCCCAGTTTCTAGAGCTGGTTGAAAATTTTGTTTCTAAACTGTTTTTCAGCATAAAATTGGGTTTTCAACTTTATTGCAAGAAGCATCTGCACCACAATCTCTCTTCACAATCTCTCACCACAATGTCTCCACTGATGCGCTACACAAACACCCAGAGGTTCCTGCCCCTCAAAGAAGAAAATACCCCATTATCTCAAATAGGATATGAGAATAGGAAAGTCACCCCCTCATTCTGGGTCTCAGGACACCTTGCGTCCTGATGCTGATACAGATGAGGCTCTTATCCCCTCCAGTATCAAGACCATGGCACTATCTAAGAAGACCACACCCCATAAAATGGCCTAGAGCAGTACCAGTATCAGCACTGGCCTCTGTGAGTTCTGAAACACAAGGACTCCAGAGCCAAGCTGAAATAACCATTGATACTGTCTTCTGTAGCCAGCCGAGAAGGACGCACTGATTGCACTTTGGTATCACCTCCACTACCACTCAACATACTGACTCCTGAGGGCCCCTGTCCAGAGTCCCTGGTACCATTCAGGTCCATGAGGACCTTTGAATCCTGGAAGAGCCTGAATCACCACTACTGAAGGGTACCGAGAGACACTCTGCCAGTACCAACTCACCTTCTAGAGCCTACTTTCCCTCCGATACTACCATCTCCAATGGCAACTCATCCTCCAGTACCAGCACTGTCACCAGCCCCACACAAACTCTTTGAGCTTACCAAGAGACATTTCTAGCTGGTATCGACATGTCCTCTGGTACCGTTTTACCAGCCAATCAACTATTGACCTCTGAGATCAATGTAGTTACAGGACCCTTCCCAGGTCCTACCACCATCTCAACCACTGATATTGGTGCCACTTGCCCCTCTAGTGGACATGGGATGACACCTCCTCCAATTCTTAGGTGTCTATACAAGGTTCCTCCACCTTCCCATTCCAGCCTCCCTCCCTTCAGGTACACCCCAAGGAGGAAACTCCCAGCAGGAGTTATACCTAGCAACCCTGGCAAGGACAATCTTGGGGCCCTGCCCTCTCTTCTTATGCCCCATCACAGTGGGCTTATGGGCTTGTGGGCACCTTACAGAGATCAGTTATACAGGGTCCCATCTTGTCAGAGGGCATGCCAGGAGCAACAACAGGAGCAACAACCACAGCCCTAGGGTCCCGTTCCACAGAAGGATCTTGCAGAGCAGCAAGAACCAGCTGAGGAAGAAGGAACACCTCCTTCCCACAAATCCTCCTCCTCACTAGATGAGGCTGTCATGCCTCCCCCACCATCTTAGACCTTGTAAGACTCATAGACTTTAAGGCCAGAAGGGACCATAATCATCATCTAGTCTAACCTGCATATTGCAGGCCACAGAACCTCACCCATCCACTCCTGTAATAGGCCCATAGCCTTTGGCTGAGTTACTGAAGTCCTCAAATCTTGATTTAAAGACTTCAAATTAAAGAGAATCTACCATTTACTCTAGTCTAGTTCAAATGAACAAGTGCCCCCACACTGCTGAGGAAGGCAAAAAACAAAAAAACAAAAACAAAACAAAACAGGGTCTCCACCAATCTGATCTGGGGGGAAATTTCTTCCCGACTCCAAACATGGTGATCAGTTAGACCCTGTGCATGTGGGTAAGACCCACCAGCCAGACACCTGGAGAACAATTCTCTGTAGTAGCTCAGAGTCCTCCCCATCCATCTAATAGCAGTTGCATATGAGCCATATGCCATTGTAGGCAAGGCCATCATACTATCTTGTCCATAAATTTATCAAATTCGGTCTTGAAAAAAGTTGGGTTTTTGTCCCGCTATTCCCCTTGGAAGGCTGTTCCAGAACCTCACTCCTCTGATGGTTACAAACTTTCATCTAATTTCAAGCTTAATGATGGTTAGGTTTTATTCATTTCTTCTTGTGCCAACATTGGCTCTTAACTTAAATAACTTCTCTCCTTCCGTGGTGTTTATCCCTCTGAGGTATTTAGAGAGAGCAATCATACTTCAGCTTTTGTTTTGTTAGGCTAAACAAGCCACGCTCCCTAAGTCTCCTCTCATAAGGTATATTCTCCATTCCTCTGATCATCATAGTAGCCCTTCTCTACATCTGGTCCGGTTTGAATTCATCTTTCTAAACACGAGGGACCAGAATTGCACACGCTATTCCACATGAGGTCTCGCCAGTCCTTTGTATAATAGTAGTAACACTTCCCTATATCTACTGGAAATACCTCGCCTGATTCATCAAAGGATTGCATTAGCCTTTTTCATGGCCACATCATATTGGCGGCTCATAGTCATCCTGTGATCGACCAGTCTTTCTCCTCCTCTGTTGCTTCTGACTGATATGTCCCCAGCTTATAGCAAAAATTCTTGTTGTTAGTGCCTAAGTGCATGACCTTGCACTTTGCACTATTAAATTTCATCCTGTTTCTATTGCTCCAGTTTTCAATGTCTCCAAATTTTCTCATCTGATATTCTGGTGGCCAGAATAGTGGAGACTTTATAAATTGTGTTGGAGAAGATACAGGAACCCCAACATTCCCTCTTGGACATTCTTGATCTCTCTCCTCAGGGCAAAATTGCCCTGCCCATCAATGATGCTGTGCTGGCCCCAGCATATATGATGTGGCAAACTCCAGTTACCATACAGATTTGCCACAATGTCCAGCCTCAATTTAACAATATGACAGAACCCACAAACCACAGCAAGGGCTTGCCTGGGTCATACAACAGCCCGTACATTAGTAAGACTACACTTTTGGTGTCTTCAAGCCTGGCTGAGAACTGTCACCAATAAGCACAATCTATCCAAGCAGGTGCCCCTACCTTGGAAGGTCCTCAATTCTCTAAATTGGTGGAAGGATCCACAAAAGGCGTGTGTGGGAGTTCTGTTCTTGCAGCCTCCTCCAATGAGGATCATTGTTACAGATGCCTCCATCACAGGCTGGGATGCATGCTTTCAGAACTTCACAGCTCAGGGCAAATGGACTCCTCAAGAGGCAATCCTCCCTATTAACATATTAGAGCACAGAGCTGTTTGTTATGCTTGCCAACACTTCCTACCCCATGTCAGAGATCACCTAACAAAAGTAATGCTGGACACAGAGCAGCAATGTATTACATCAATTGACAATGACGAGCAAGATCTCAGTCATGGCGCCAAATCCATAAACCTATGGAACTGGTGTATATCAAACCGCATATAGAGCTGAGCTGTTTGCCACTGTGTTCTGTAGTTCTGGTAGATAAACTCCCTTAGCAGGCATTTCCACATCAATCAATGAGTGGGAGCTGAACAGCAAGGTATTCCAAGAGATATGTCTTACCTGGGATCATCCAGAGGTAGATCTCTTTATGACACCATCCGAGGGGAAGTGCAGACTATTCTGCTCAAGGGGAGGACGTGGCCACAACTCAATAGGAGATGCCATAATCATTTCTTGGACTCAAGTATTGCAATATGCTTATCGCCCAGTGCCTTTACTGCTCAAGGTCCTAAACAAATTGAAACAGAAGAATAAGTAGCCATCTTCATAGCACCAGCATAGCTAAGACAAATGTGGTTTGCAGAGTTGGTTTACATGTCTCTGCTGTAACAGACTGACAATTTCCTGCAATATCTTGAATTAAGACACCTTTGGAGTTCATTGTGTTAAAAATACAAATGTTCATGTACTATTGTGTGATTGTATGGAACTTCTTTAGCGGAAAGAAAAGATCAATGCAATCTCTGGAAGGTAGAAGGACTTTCAAAGATATTTTTGGAACAAAACATGTGAATTGGATTCCCTAGGAAGTACTTTGCAGTGATGGGAATGCAAATTCTCCCCCCTCAAAGCCAACCTTTTGAAGATACTCCCTGGAGCAAGAGATCCATTACATACCAGATCAAAGACCGCAAGAACTGGAAAGGATGAATTGAACATGTCATGAGCATGCTTGTTCTGAGCTGAAGCTGTGATGAATTGGTAACCACAAACCTTAGAGTGGGAGTTTGGACTGCTTCTGTCAGAATCTATGTTAGGGTTGGAGTTAATTCTGGTAAGCTTATTAGCATACATGTAGGTTGTTTTATTGTTTTTAGTATGTTTTCTCAATAATAATTTACTTTAAGAATAAAGTCTGGATGGTAACTTATAACTGTAGCAATTTCTCTATAGAGAAAGCAAACAGGTGTCCTTCAGCAACCTGTCTGTTCTGGGAAATACACAGTGAAGGCAAAAAATTGTGTAGCCTGGGAATACCCCAATCAGAAGGGAGAGGGACGCACATCTCCACTCAAGAGAGTCAACAGATGGGGAGCTGGAAGCTTGAGAGTGGATACTCTCCTGGGCCACTGTGGGGAAATATAGGTGCAGTTGCCCTGAACTGTGACATCTGCAACAGTTTTTCCACCTTCCCCTGACAGTGAATCGCCTCAGGCAGGAGTTAGGATCCATCAGCCACCCAACCTCTTGGCGCTTCACCTGAAGATGTGGCTACCATATGGCTTGCGGGTGTAGAACAAGACTGCTCTCCATGTGTACAAACAGTACTGCTTAATAGTAGAAAACGCATGACAAAGAAAACTTACCTGCAGAAGTGGAAATGCTTCCAGACTTGGTGCAACCACGAATCTATTCCTTGTCTCGAGACCTGACATACGTTCTCAATTACCTGCTGAATTTAAAAACCACAGCTTTATCACTGAGCTCCATTAAGGTTCACTTAGCTGCCATCACAGTTTTTCATTGCCCCCATTGAGGGGTTTTCTGTCTTCACCCACTGTGAAGCTTATCGAAGGCCTGTTCAATCTTTTCCCTCCCATCAAAGAGCCAACTCCACAATGGCTCCTCAACTTAGTCCTCAAAGCACTGAGGAAACCTACATTTGAACCTATGTGAACTGTTCCCTCCCTCATTTGTCCCTCAAGACCTCATTCCTCATAGCCATCACCTGCCCAGGAAAGTAGGGGAGCTTGGAGCCTTGATGGCTAACTTGCCATATGTGGTGTTCTATTGCAATAAAGTGATGTCACATCCACACGCTCTCTTCCTACCTAAAGTTTCTTCAGAATTCCCCATTAATCTATAAGATTTACCTACTGGTGTTTTTCCCAAGCCTCACTCTTTGAGAGAAGAAGTGAGCCTCCATATATGGGATGTAAACAAGAGCTCTTGCCTTTCACCTTGACAGGCCTAGGCCTTTTAGGGCTTCCAAGTGGCTTTTGATCTCAGGTGCAGAAATAATTGAAAGGACATCTGATTTCCACTGAAAGACTGTCAAAATGGTTTGCAGGATGCTTCTTAACCTGTTATGAAGCCTCGGGGATTCACCCCCCTCCCAAAGGTGTTTGCGGAGTCCACCAGGGCTGAATCTATCTACTGAAAAACATATCTATCTTAGACATCTGCAGGACAGCCACCTGGCCTTCAGTGCACATATTTTCCCAACATTATACTCTTGTGCCTGCTACCAGAACTGATGTGCTTTGGTGTATTTTTTTTTTTTTTACCATCTGTACTGAATCCACCTCCTCAGCAACCTCTTGCATAATTGAGGTACCATTCCTGACATGGAGCACTCACAGGGACACTACTCGAAGAAGTGATTTACCTTGTACTGTAATTGGAGTTCTTTGAGATGTGTCTCTCGAAGGGTGCATCACTACCTCCCCTCCTTTCCTCTCTGCCTCTGAGTCCTTCGCTTAACTTCCAACAGTGAGAAGAAACTGAAATGGCAGCGGGTCCACCTCCCCTTCCCCCCATATGCCTTCTTACCAGAGCATGAGGCTATCTAGGGCACACATGAGGACACTATTGATGAAAATCTCCAATCTAGACCATACAGATGCATACGCATCCTGATGTGGAGCACCAATAGGGACGCAATCTTGAAGAACTTGAGTTACTAAACAAGGGAAGTAACCTCTCCTTCTATTGTCATGTATAGACTATCAGCTAAAAAGCATTTAGTGATAGTTTAAAAAAAAAAAAACTCTGATCATAACAAAAATTGTAATTAGACTGGGGTAATACAGTTCTGATAGTGAGAGCTTCCCCTCCTCAGCCTTTACCCGTTAGAACTGAACTGAATTTCTGAAATCTGGGGATAAGTTTTCACTTTTAACTTCTGGGTCAGGACCGAAAATACCATAATTTCATGGGAAAAGCTGTTTGGGAAAAGCTATTTCTGGTCATGGTCAGCCAGAGAACTTTCAAAATACCACAAGAAGGGATGATGGTGTGATCCTTCTGGTCCAACCAGAAGAAGGAAGTACTAGAAATCTCATAAGAAAGCCTGATTGTTAGGGTCTGGGCCTGGGGCTGAAGTGAGCTCCAACACAATAGGTAAATACACCTCTACCCCGATATAACATGACCTGATATAACACGAATTCGGATAGAACGCGGTAAAGCAGTGCTCCGGGGGGGGTGGGGGGGGAGCGGTGCACTCCGGTGGATCAAAGGAAGTTCAATATAACGCGGTTTCAGCTATAATGCAGTACGATTTTTTGGCTCCCGAGGACAGCGTTATATCGGGGTAGAGGTGTAGTAGGTGCCATGGTGCAGTTGATGGCTTCTAGCACAGACTCTAAGAAAAGCTGCTGAATCCCCTCAAAACCTGTCCTGAAGAAGGGGGCGGGCGCAGACACCGTGGCCAGTTAGTGTGCATGGTATACATTGCAGCTGAATAGGGATAAGACTCGGGGTGCAAAAAAAGAGTTTTGTGAAACTCCGGTCCAACATTTTGTGTGCTTAAGTGAACTTAACTCAGCAAAAGGATGATATTTCTGTGTTTCAACTTAGTTACTGTGGCCTGGGGAAATTAACCCTGTTTTAGTTATTACAGAAAAAAAGTGAGACAACAGTAACCCTGGGCCCCAGAGGGAAATCTAGGTCCAAAATAAGGCACGATGCACTTGATGTCTATTTTTACTTCTATATAAAATCATGAATAAAAAATTAACGATTACAAGGACACTTGAAACAAGTTTCTAGAATTTTTTTTTTTTTGGAAAAGCACAGTACTGAGAAATGTGTCAAACAGGTATTATGGTTAGAGTATGAGGCTAAAACTAGACTCCCCTGGGTTCCGTTCCTTTCCCAGTTCTTCTACCAATTCACAGTGTTATCATGGATAAGTCCTGTAGCCTCTCTATTCCTCTCTTTGCTCAGGAAAGTTTGCAAATATTTCCCCTGGTGATAGCAACACGGGAAGCCAAATTTGCAATATTTTTCTAGAGTAGACAAAGTGTCTGTATCATATTTTCCTCATGTGTGAAATAAGGATAATACTGATCTCACAAGGGTGTTGTGAAGCTTAACTAATTAATGTTGGTAAGGCACGTTGAATGCATAGATGAAAGGCTCTATATACTTATTTGAATTAAGATTGCATGTAGAGATGCCTATCAGGAGTGAGACCCCCAGGCGTTAAATACTGTACAAACAGAGTAAAAGATGGCACCCGTCCTAGAGAGTTTATAATGTAGTTAAATATATCAATACTGCACTGTTGGGCAAACAGAACTTGGACCTATGAATCTAGACCTATAGTTTGCCTGACAAACCAGACTGATGCTCAGGAAATGACTAAATGCACATGTACATATTAACAGAAACTGACAACAGAAAGAAAGAGACCTCAATGGGCCAACTTTTTGGATGACTGACTGCACTCTTTTGAAGTTCCTTTCCATTGCATTCACCAGTTACTTTAAAAATATCCCACAGCAAAAAGAGATTAGGAATTAGACTTTCGGGGGCAATAAATTCCAGCCCCCAATCCAATGCTGCTTCTGACTATGGTAATTCATTCACATACTTATGTAGGTGCTGAATCCTTGCAAATTCTACACTCCGCTTCTGTAATCGTGCTGGAAACAATGTGTGCAGGTCTCAGATTTTTACATCAAGAATTCATTTTGGTAATTCATTAACCCCATTCTTGTTAAACCTTGACCTACCAATAAGAGGATTCTTCTTGGTCACTGCCCTTAGGAAGTGCATCCACAACAGCGAGAACAGGGTAAGCCAAAGAAAATAATAGGCTAACCGTTGCCAACAGATGCTTGCTCTTTTCTTTTTAAAGAGAAAATTAATAATGTTTTAATACCATGATCAGTTTCAGCCTTTTACATTTCGAGGTGCTCCAGGGGCTAGATATTTTACAATATGTAATACTGAAGTGGAGTTTTCTCTTTTAAATGAAAAATTTAAGAAGGATCCATCACCAGTAGGATTTTGGAATTAAACTCCTGCCAAGGCATCACGGCTGCATGAAAAAGTGATGTGGATTTTTAACCAGCCTTTGAGACAACTGCAGCAGCATGTGTGTTTGCAGCTTTAGGAATGTTTCTGCAGAAGAAAGGGTGGGGTCTGCCAAAGGCATTTGGATGCAGTGCTCTGTTAGGGAAGCTAACAGGGTGGCAAGCTTCATGATTTTCTGGCGAGGTGGAAAAATTAATATTATTTATTGAAGTGAATTTAGTGTCGCTGATGGGAGCCTGATTTATACATAGATGCCTCTAGTAGCAACAAGGGGTCAGATTCAGAGGTATTTAAGCATCTAAAGATGCAGACAGGCCCCTGGTGGAATATTCAGAAGCACCTAGGTGTCTAATTTCCATTGAAATCCAAAGGAGTTAGGTGCCTAGCTCCTTTTGAAAATCCCACTAGGTGCCCATCTGTATCTTTATAGAATCATAGAAGTGGAAGGGACCTTGAGAGGTCATCTAGTTCAGTCCCCTGCCCTCATGGCAGAACTAAGTATTATCTAGACCATTCCTGACAGGTGTTTGTCTAACCTGCTCTTAAAATTTTCCAATGAAGGAGATTCCACAACCTCCCTAGGCAATTTATTCCAGTGCTTAACCACCCTGACAGGAAGTTTTTCCTAATGTCCAACCTAAACCGCCCTTGCTGCAATTTAAGCCCATTGCTTCTTGTCCTATCCTCAGAGGTTAAGAACAATAATTTTTCTCCCTCCTCCTTGTAACAACCTTTTATGTACTTGAAAACTGTTAAGTCCCCTCTCAGTCTTCTCTTTTTCAGACTAAACAAACCCAATTTTTTCAATCTTCCCTCATAGGTCATGTTTTCTAGACCTTTAATCATTTTTGTCACTCTTATCTGGACTCTCTCCAGTTTGTCCACATCCTTCCTGAAATGTGGCACCTAGAACTGGACACAATACTCCAGTTGAGGCCTAATCAGCACAGAGTAGAGTAGAAGAATTACTTCTTGTGTCTTGCTTACAACACTCCTGCTAATACATGCCAGAAGGATGTTCACTTTTTTTTGCAACAGCGTTACACTGTTGACTCATATTTAGCTTGTGGTCCTCTATGACCCCCAGATCCCTTTCTGCAGTACTCCTTCCTAGGCAGTCATTTCCCATTTTGTATGTGTACAACTGATTGTTCCATCCTAAATGGAGTACTTC